GAAGACCCTCACCAGATGCCAGACAGGTGCTTGGTGCCATCCTGTTAGATTTCTCAGTGCTTGGATCCAAGAGCCAATTTAGACTCCTATTCTTTATAAAGTTCCCAATCTCAGGTATTTTGTAAATAGCAAGCGAAAATGCAGTAAAACATCATACTTTAAAAAGGCTCTGTGAGCACTTTTGATACAAAGAGAAACAAAGATGAAGGATGTGACACTGTGAGTAAAAAAGACTGGGGTGGGGGGTATGGATTTCTCAGTATGTCACAATTCTTTCTAAAGAATGCATGTTATATAAGCTCACAGAAAATGTTATTAAAACCAATTTATACTTGATCTTCTAAAAGTACTATCTATTTTATCAGTCACATGGAGAGAGAGAGAGAGAAAGAGAGAGAGAGAGAGAGAGAGCGCATAGTATTTCTGAATTTGTGGAAAATCCTAAGAAGCTTAATTTTTCACCTAACCTCAACTAGCAGGTACAAAAAGCACCAAGAGTCAAATGACAATTTAACTTATAGGCACAGACTCTAATTTCCAGTTTCTCAGCAGCTGATAAATTTTTAATAGGCATATTTGAATAATTTTGCCCTATAACCTGACTCTTATAAGGTCATCCACAAAGGCAATTCACTGGAAGAAGTAAAAATTATGGCAGGCTTTCTCTAAAAAGGCATTTTATAAGTGAGCTAGGCACAATCAGGCCTCAGTTTCCAGAGAAACAACACACTGCCACACGGCATTAGTCTCTGGCAGCAGCTTGGAGCTTGGTGAGAGCAGGCCTCCAACTCATGTGGCATCAGTGAGCTGGACCTTCATTTTCTGCCTTCTGCAATAGCAGGCCTTGGTCTCCTGCCTCAGTCTCAAGTCATGTCAGTGAGCTCATCACAATCAGGCCTTCATCTCCAGCAGCTTGGGTGAGGCTGGCAACATCAGGTATTCATCTTAGGCTTGGAGCTTGGTGGGAACAGGTTTCTGGCTGCAGTGGTCTTAGACAGCACCCTGCAACCAGGTCTGCTGTGCCTATAGGACTGCACCGCACAGCTGGAGCAGATTTTCTGCTCCAGTGGATCCAGGGAGCATCTGGGGACTGAACTCTCACCTTTGTTAAGGGCCACAAGCAAGGTAGGACCAAACCTCCAGCCCTGATGGTCTCAGAGATTAGTGCCAGGCATGAACACTGGGTCCAGTGTTCAGGGGTTTGGCTCCAGTGATCTCTTAAAGGCAGAGTGGGTGCAGGATTTAGGCTCTGGGGTTCCTGGGCTACTGCAGGGTTGGTAATCTATACGATTGTGGTCCTGGAGGTTGTTTTAGGCCTGTGGCATAGATTACAGGGCCCAGGTTGATGCATAAACTTTGGTGGGTCTGATATTAGGGTCTTGCCCTTAGTGAGTTCCCAGAGTTCCAACAGAAGATGACTGTGTAGTGGTCCTGTCTGGTTGTCTTGGGGCTCAGTATCTGACCTCATCAAGGATCATAATGGCACATAGCCAAGACAGGATTACGTCAGCAATTTCATTCCATAATCAACACCAGACCCAGAGGCTAAGCTTCATTTAAATATCCCTATAGAAAGAATCACAGGAAAACGGAGCATTCAAATCATTTTGGAGGAAGTGGAAGTCAAAACAGAAAGACAAATCCAATCAAATAAATGCACAAAACATGACAGAGAAAAACACAGCCACCACTTAAGATCCAGTCAACCAAGTCTTCCATAAGGGAATCAAAACTACAGAGAACTGAATCATCTGAAAGAGTATTCAGAGTTCTACTTTTTAAAAGAATTAATGACCATACAGAAGAATCAAACAAACAGATGCACAAATTAAGGAGATACAGCAAAGACCTTGACAAGACAATATCCAAAGTGAATGAGACGTCAATAAACTGAAGGCAAGAGACCAAAATATGGAGGAACAACTTGGCAAGGAGCTTGAAACATTGAAAATGAATCGAGCAGAGATTCTTGAAATGAAACAGATGATCAATCAAATAAAAACCACAATGATACTATTATTAATAGACAAGACCATACAGAAGAACAAATTTTAGGGATAAAAGATAAAAACCAGACAGTAAAACAAACAGACACTTACAAGGGAAAAACAAGTTAAGAAACATGAACAAAACTTTCAAGAATTCTGGGATACATTCAAGAAGCCAAACCTGAGAATTCATGGTATAAAAGAAGGAGCAGAGATAAGATCAAATGGAATAGACACATTATTTAACAATATTATAATAGAAAACTTCCCAAACCTAGCAAAATCAAACACAAGAAATATATAGAGCTCCAAACAGACATGACCAGAGGAGAAGCTTGCTACGGCACATCATAGTTAGGATGTCTAAAATACAAAGGGAAGAAATCACCTTAAAAGAAGCATGAGAAAAATACCAACTTTCAGAAATATGAGAATTACTCCAGACTTTTCATCAGCAACCGTAAAGGCCAGAAGAGAATGTAATGAAATATTTCAAAGTTTAAAAGTAACTGCAAGCCAAGAATGCTATACCCTGAAAAGTTATCTTTTAAAGTTGATGGAGAAATAAGGATGTTTCAAGAGAAACACAAATTAAGACAATTTATGATAGCACTGCAGAAAATATCTGTAATTATCAGGGAAATGCAAATTAAAACTACTTTGAGATATCATCTTACCCAAGTCAGAATGGCTGTTATTAAGAACTTAGACAACAAATGTTGGAGAGGTTGTGGAGAAAGAGGAACATTTATTCATGGAAATCAGTTTGAAGTTTCCTCAAAATTAAAAATAGAGCTGCCATATGACCCAACTATCTCACTCCTGGGAGTATACCCAGAGAACTCCATACCTTCCCACAGAGATATTTTCAATACCATGTCTATTGCTGCTCCTTTCACTATAAAAAGGAAATGGAACTAAAGAAGATGAAATCAAAGAAATTTCCAGAAAGATGGATGGACCTAGAACACATAATATTAAGTTGAGGTCCTCCAATCTCAGAAAGTAAAAAACTGAATGTTTTCCCTCGTATCCAGATCCTAGACTAAAATATATACATGTACATATATAAACAAATGCATGTGTAGGTATACTATAATTTTTAGGAGAAGAAAGAGTTTGCAAAGAAAAGGTGCATAGTTTTTGTCTTTGCTAATTCTCTAATAAAACTTTGAGGGGCTGGAGAGATGGCTTAGCAATTAAGAGCACTAGCTGCTCTTTCAGAGAACCTGGGTTCACTTTCCAGCACCCACATGGCAGCTAACAATCATCCATAACTCCAGTTCCAGGGTATTGGGTGCCCTTTTCTGACCTCCGTGGGCACTGCGTGACACAGGTGTACTTACGCACATGCAAGCAGTACACTCATACACATAAAATTTTAAAAAAAAATTGAAAATTTAGATTTTGCCCTGGTTCCAGCTTTCTACAGTCTGTCATAACTTCCCACCTATCACAAACTACAGACCTATTTGCCATGTCTATAAGAGACTGAAACACAAGCTCACACAAATCTGGATCTATTTTCTCAGTTCACTGCTGTCTGCTCTTCACTAGGGCTGCCCACAGTTCAGTGGCCCTTCAGGAATTCCACTACTTCTTTAGTTTTTGTACTTTTAAATTTTCTTTATGTCAAAACTAAGATACATACATACACATTGTCTTTTCTTTAATTTTTTAAAGATTTTATTTTTATTTTAAGTTTATGAGTGGTTTGTCCGCATGTAAGTGCACCATGTGTGCCATGCCTGAAGAGACCAGAAGAGGGCATCAAATAGCCTGGAAATGGAGTTACAGATAGTTGTTAGCCACCATGTGGTGCTGGGGACTGAACCTGGTTCCTGTGCAAGAGGTTCCTGTGCTCTTACACATTATCTTTTTAAAATTATACTTCATGCAAAATTTCTAGTAGTTTGCAGTATGTCTATATCACATATTGGTATGCATTATCTCAGACTATCTAGAAGCTAGGGTAAGAACAATGCAGCTCACCTTTTAGAAAACTGATGTAATAGTTTTCAATTCATTGGCTAATGTGATTATAAAATAGATAATGACTTTAATGAATTTAACATGGTGTCGAAGCATATATAAAATACTCAATAAATATTGGACCTTATTCTTTATTATGTGTATTAAATCCTCATTAAATACTACAAAAAAAGGTGGTTTTCTGATTATCGTCATAGCCACTACTTAAGGTAGGCTAAAGTTATTTTAAAGTTAAAATATGTATTTCACAAAGTTCCCTGCCCACAGCTCAGAGGTGACTCTGGTACTTGGCTTGGATGGATAGTCACGAATCTACTAGCTTAGATGCAGCAGCTGAAGCGAACACCAAAGTGAATTGACTCACTTTTTAACTCTGTCCCACAGTCCCTAAAAACTTTCTCTCTGCTATTTGTGATTAGAACCAGCAGAATCTAGGGCAGCATGATCTGATTGCTTAAAGTACAGTAATTTTAACTCCTGGACCTTGGGCTAGCCTCTTTAGATGCTCACACAGCATTGAGAAGTGAGACAGAGAACTACAGATAATGAAATTTCCTTGAGAGGAACAGTTAAGTTAAAAAATGCAGCTAGGCTCAGCAGTTAAGAAATCTGGTTATTCTTACAGAAGACCCAGGTTTGAATCCCAGCACCCACATGGCAGCTAACAACTGTCCGTAATTCCAGTCCCAGGGGATCCAACAACCTCTTCTGACCTCCTTGGGCATTGCACGACAGGGGTGCACTTACCTACATGCAAGCAATGCATACACATAAAATAAAAATAATGAATAAAATATTTTTTTAATTGCAGCTATACAGATAGAGAATTTCTGAAAGGGATTTACTTGCATCTCATGGTTTTAAAGTTCTCATAAGCTGACCCTCCTTCCTGTCTTTGGGGTTTATGGTACACCTCTGCTTCTTTAGCACACACCCCAGTTTTCCCAAGTTATCTTTGCCTAGTATCTATTTAAAATCCTGCAGTTGACTTGATGCAAGCCAGAGTCAAGAAGACAATACCTTGGTTGATGCATGGATATTGCCTCCTTTTTCCAGAAGCATGGTAACCATATCTGTGTGCCCTTCCTGTGAGGCCAGATGGAGTGGAGTGACCCCTTGCTTTGTCACAATGTTAGTCTCAGCTCCGTAGCTCAGGAGTGTGGAAGCGATCTGCATCTGATTCTTCTTGGCAGCAATGTGTAAAGGAGTATAGCCATTCTAAAACAGAAAGAAACAGAGATAAAATGTGAACACACACACATGCACGCACACGCACACATGCACACTACACAAAGAAAGAAAAAACATTTGGCAATTGCTCTAATATTATCTCTGAAGGAAATTTTTTTCTGAGGGAAAAAAGTATAATTAGCTAGAAAAATGAAATGAGTTGACAGGTAATCCGAACTAAACCATACCTAATCTTCACAATCAAAGTCAAAAGATATTCCATCTCAATTTAAGATAAGATAGATTTAGACACATCAATGCTGAAAATCTCCTTGTAATTGGGTTCTCTCCCAAGCAAGAACAGAAAGTAAAGCAGGCTCTTCTGCATGACAGTCCTTAAGTACCTGATGGTACATTTATAGAGATCTGCCTCTAGTCTTTTTTCTCTAGCATAAATCAAGTGCTGTGCAAGATTAAAAACAAAAAGGTGAATAGGATACGATTCCTGTTGTTAGGGGGCTATGTTAGAATGGAAAAGATATTACATAACACAAAGTCCTGCAGTGACTTTAAACCTTGGATCTCCCCTTCTGCACAGTCTGTGTCTCATAACATGAAGCTGACAGCTTTATGTGGGAGTTATACAGTCGACCAGAATAACTTATATATTGCTTTCAAGAGCAAAACATATAAACATCATTAAACTTAGTTGAAAGAAAAGGAAGCAAAGAACTGAATCACAAGAGGTGTCACTGTGGGACAAAATAGTTTTTCCTTTCCTTTTCTTTTTTCAGATTGGTAGAATTAACCATGAACACCACGTGGTAAAAAATAAAAATGAAATAAAGGAAGAAAGAAAGAAAAGAAAGGAGAGGGGAGGAAGGGACAGCAAGAAAGAGAGAGAGAGAGAGACAGGGAAGAGAGAATAGAGGACAGAGGCTTGGCTACGAATGTCGAGGTGCCGAAGGACAGGCCACATAGCCATCAAATGCTTCTTGGTATTCTTAGACATTTTTGAGGACATTTTATTTCCTTAAATCTAACTGCACAGCATATCAAAAGATAAAAAAACAGACGGGACAATTTAACTGTTTTTCGTGGGGCTATAGAGGCTGCTTAGCGGTGAAGAGCACTAGATGCTCTTGCAGCCAGGTTTATTCTGAGCACCCACATGACAACCCACAACTGTCTGCAACTCCAGTTGCTGAGGATCTGACACCCTCTTCTGGCCTCCATGGGAGTGCACACATGTGGTATATATACATACATATAACCAAACACTCATATACATAAAATAATTAAAATTAAGAGTCCAGCATGAAGGCACACACCTTTAACGCCAGCACTAAAGAGGCAGAGGCAGGTGGATTTCTGTAAGATCAAGGCCATAGATCATGGTCTACGTAGCTGAGTTCCAGGCCACCTGTGACTACAGAGAGACCCTGTCTCAAAAAAAAATTAACTAATTTTTTACTTTAAAAAATATTTTAAATTGTCTTTTTGTACCATTGTCAAATCTTGAGGTTTGGAACCCCTACATTTTCTATATTATTGCCATTTCTCCAAGAAAAAAAAATGACCATCTTTCATTTCTAAAAATTTATTTTTATTTTAATTTTATGTGTATGTGTGTATCACACCTGTGTCATGCAATGCCTGTGGAGGACTGAAGAGGCTGTTAGATCCCCCGGAACTGGAGTTACAGACAGTTGTTAGCTGCCATGTGGGTGCTGGGATTTTGACCTGGGTCTTCTGCAAGAACAACCAGTGTTCTTATCTGCTGAGCCATCTCTCCAGCCTCAATTTATTATTACTATTATTATTATTATTATTAATTTTATGTGTATGAGTGCTATGCCTGTATGTATGAAAGTGCACTCATGTCATGCAATGCCTGCAGAGGACAGAGAGGCTGTCAGATCCCCTGGAACTGGAGTTATGGAGAGTTGTTAGCTGCCATGTGGGCATCTTTCATTTTTATAAACATGATTTCTCTCTAAATTGCTAAAAGAAACCCAGTGAAAATCTTTTCTGGGCTTGACCATGGGCCTTAGTTATCCAGCTGCTTGTGAGCAATGCACTGGATCATGGGCTCTATGAACCAGGGTAATTTCTGTGGCCAAACATGCAATCAGGCTTGTCCTTCTGGCTACAGGTTGCTTCTTCATTCCCAACTTTTCTCATTTCTGCAGCACAGGCCCTACCAAGGTCACATAATATATAAAGACATTGATTAATGAGACTTACATGGAGAAAATACAGAGATGCTTTGCAAATAGCAACCACCAGACAACACACTGACTATGGTGTTGATTTGGGCAATGGAAAAGTTCTGACTGCCAAGTAGCTACTCAGCCTTCAAGATGTAAAGAGCCTTCTGTCCCACAAAGAGTCAAAAAAACTGAACTATGTAACTTAAACTCCCTTCACACCCTCATTCCACCTACAACAAAGATTAAGACAAAGTTTTGTATTATAGTAGAAAGAAACAAAGTTGTTCCAGAAGTCAAGAGATAATGTGTTAAGGAAGAGAAAACTGTACTCAATAGAGACATGTGTAGATGTACATGCATGTATACCAAGTTATAGATATTTATGCTTCATATTTAATGCATATATATAATATATAGCATTAAGTTTATAAAGTGTCCCATTTTGCTACATATAAATAACATATAATAAATAAATATGTGAGCACATATGTACATAGTTATATAGTGGAAGTGGAATAAATCTCTCTCCACTGCTTTGAAACACAATGGAGGGAGTAGTTAAGAACATCTGCTCTACTGCCAGTCTGCCTGAGGCCATATCCTGGCTGTTACTACTCATAGAACTGTGGGTAAAGCAGCCTATTCAAAACTCACTTTATCATCTATAGTGATCACTATCAATTACCGGCCTCAGGATTATTATAAGGCTAAATGAGCACTTAAATATTAACTGCTCAGAACAGTGTTTGGTGCATAAATGCTAGTTGTTTCATTATTTCATCTAACATAGTATGACTATTTTCCCATCATAACAAAAGTGTTTTAAGTAGGATTTCAAATATGTTTGCTAAGTGAGTGAGTGAGAAGATGTGACATTGCCATATATTTTCAACATAACATATATACAAACAGCAAATAACTAAGATGATAGAAAATGCTCTGTCCAGAGGTACTAGAGGTAGGAGTATGCTTGGACATAGATGATAGACATATACCAAGAAGGCATTAACAGTCTAGAGATTCACTTAAAGGATCTACAGCACAGATAACACAGACGAACACTTCAAAAGACAAACAAGTCTTTCATATTGAAAAGTTTGATGTCAGCAGAACCAAGAGTATGAAAGGATATGATTTATGGGAAAGAAGGAAAAACCTATAATGCCTCCATTCAGATATCAGTATCTAAAATATTGAATATTGGTAATAAGATTAATTTTCGCTAGCTGATATGCACGCCCAATCAATAACTGTTGACTAAGATCTTTAAAAGATTTTGGAGAAGCAACTGGTAGAAACCGAAAAAAAAGATGTCATTATCAAAATATACTATTATTATAATTCAGTGTACATATTTACAAAGCAGTTTCAGATCATGGTTACATGGTATGACTGTGACTGTAGTCCTGTAGTCCTCACCTTGGCAGTGGCGTGTGGGGAAGCACCCTTCTCCAGAAGTAGCATCGCCACCTTCTGGTTGTCATAATGAGCAGCAACATGGAGGGGGGTAAGGCCGTTCTGTAAAGGTTGTGTTTAAATTTCATCATTAGTACATAAGTGTTAGCTGTTCTGAAGTTACCCAGAAGGCATGGACGCTGACATAAGTTAAGCATGTGTTAACTAATTAACATAGTCAGTGAAAAGAATAAAAATAAATACAAGATAATCTTCATACTAGAAACATAACTAAAATTGAAAATGCTTGATCTTATAAATAGGAAAGGATAGCTTTCTGGTGACAACAAATAAAAGTCTAAAATGCTATGTAGGAAGTACTGTATTGACATCACAGGGATTCTTAATACAGAGAGTTGTGTGCCCCTCAGGATAAGAACATATATTTAAGGCACAGAAAAATAATGCTTTTTGAATTGGTGTACAGAGAAGATCACTTCCCCAACATCTATTTGAAAAGTTCAATCAGATATACTCATTTTCATTTCTGATGAGTGAAAAAATACACACCTAACATGACAAGTTATATAATGAAAACATTTACCTTCCCTGCAGAATCTGCGGCAGCACGGCGTTGCAAGAGAAGTTTTGCCACATCCAGGCTTCCATACTTGGCTGCTACATGCAGGGGAGTAAAACCCTTCTAAAATGCAACAAAAAAAAAGTGTAAAAATTAGTATTTATTTTCCTAACTCCTAACAAGACCTTAGTTAATATGCTAAGCAAACATTGCTGATTCTCCTTTTTTGAAAAACTGGTGGCATAAACTTCATTATAAATAAGCACAATGATAAATCATGAAAATTAATTCAAATGTTTGACCTGATGGAGTAAACGAAAGAAATTTTATTTTGCAATTTTAAGCACATGCTGATTTGACTTTTATAACATCCACTAGTATCAGTAAACTGGTTCTGATTTGTGAATGAAAAAAAAAAGCCTATCTTCTGTCTTGCCTCTAAAATTAATGTGACTGAGACAACAGCTGCCTTCTATTTCTTTGTTTTTGTATAGTCTTTTTTGAGACAGGATCTCCCTGTAGCCCCAGCTGGCCTGGAACTCACTAGGTAGACCAGGCTGGCCTTGAACTCACAGAGATCGGTCTGCCTCTGCCTCCTGAGTGCTGGGATCAAAGGCATGTGCCATCACACCCAACTTGCCTTCTATTTCTTACTCCCTTTTCTTAACTCCTTAATTCCAAATTTCTTTATTTAAATTTTAGGATATTTGGGAGGTCGTGTTTAAAGAGAATAATTATGATTCAGCTGACTTATATTTTTCTCTTAAAATGGCCAGATGAATGATCTACAGAATTAAAAAAAATATTAAAAAGTTTTTCACATCCTTTTTTTCCCAAGGAACCCACACTGTCCAAATGATCAGTTCCTCTAATAAAATTCATACTTCTTCTGGCCTGCTGCTTGAATGACTAAGACCAGACTTAAACACATTGAAGCTTTAACAATGTGCTTTTAAAAGATGTCTTTCCTACACCTTTATATATACAAATTCAGTGTCTTGTGTACCTAACCAATAGTCACACTCCCATTAGAAGTGTGCTGTAAATACAGATGAGATTTTGGACTGAAATATCAAGGTGGCACAGTTCCTGCTCCCTGACTTCAAATCCATTATCCTGGTCAGACACTTTAGAGCCACATGCTTTTCTGGAACAACAACAGAAGTGGGAGAATTTTAACAAGGACCAGGGCCCAGAAAACAAACCCAATAAGCATCCCTGCCCTAGGTGTCTTTGAGCCCCCATCACAAACACTGAAGGTCTCCCAAATGCCAATATTTACCAATTTTTTAAACTTAAGATGCCATTTTTCTATTTCTTTTTTTAAAAGAACATTTGGTCCTAATACGTTCTTGGGAAAGGCTGAATCCTCTGGCTTTTTCCAAGCGTGGGACAAATGCAGGAAATATTTCCTTCTGGCATTCATCCACAGGAGCCGGCATGCTGTTGAAGCTCTGTTTCCTGTGCTCCATGCGCACAAGGATGGGATGGTATTCACTTGGGATTAAATTGATTCCTTTAACACAAATCACATAGGCAGGAATTCCAAAAAATAAACTTATCTTTACAGTCCTGCTGAAGTTGTGATCTGACTCCTTTATAAATTTGGAAACTTTTACTAGAAAAAAACTACATAGAATTTTCAATGTAGAATGACAGGGGCTGGGTTAGGAAGTATTTCTTGAGTTACACATCACCTCCTTTCCACGTGAAGCTCATCAGGACTCTAAGTCTCTTTGGTATTTATAAACACGTAAACAGTTACTGACTGAGTCAGCCATCATTCAAATCAAGTTTTAAAGTGCTCTGCTTAACAACTGCTTCTATATTATCATCTTACTACACTATGGTATTAGTTATTTTTTAAAATCTTTGAAAGACAAGGGACTATTTTCTATTCATCTGTTAAGACAGTTGCCAAGTCTCTCCAGTTATTATTACTGTAGGTTTGTTGCTTAGCATTTAAGTCCTTTTTCTTTAATAAAATTTTAAATCCTTTCATCTCTCCAGATGACAGATTTAAAATATTTTGAATATTTATCGATTTCTGTGCCAGAATGCTTTTGACAGCCATGGGTGAGAAGGCTTGTGCTGACATTGGTTGGGGAGCTGGTCCCACTTCTGGGCTCAGTGGCTACTGTACTGTACTGGTTCGTTCTTGTGAATTTCCTTCTCCCCAGACATAGTATTTATTCCTATTTATTGCAAGTGAGCTGAAGTGGCTTTTTTTATTCACTTGAACTGTTGTTGCATGTGTGGAAACTATTTTTTCCTGTGAGCAGCTCACTTGTTCTAGACTTTTACTTAACTCTTTTTTTTCTGCTCTTCTGTGCTGGCTCAATCTAATTTATCCCAGTCAGCTGAGTATGTTCATGCTTTACACAATTTCAAATGGAATATATCTAAGAGGAGGAAAAAAATGTCCTGCATGACCATAAAGCTTTGAGCATAAGCAAAACTCTGGCTGGTGTATATTCTTTGTTGGTGCCAGTATGTCTCATTAAGTGTTAATCTGTACTCTGTTTAGTGATACCACTTCAATATATTTGGGAATCCTGTTTTATTTTATTTTTTTCTTGAGAATATACTGAAGAATTTATAGCAAAAAGGGAAGAAAAACAAACCTTTCCTTTTGATAATTAAATCATGATAATTACATTTATTCCATAAACAGTCACATAAATTAGAAGATTGGAATGCAGAACTCTGAAGCTCTTATATAAAATTTCACAATCTCCACCATTCAGAAAATAAATCTAAAACACTAAGTGAAAGAAACAAGTCAGGGCCTAACACATTTTTCCTTTCCTGATATTCTTCTGCAGTTCATTAAGGACTTGACTTGGAGATCTCAAGACCCTCCTCTTACCTTGGTGGCTAAGGAGTGTGCTGCTCCTGCTTCCAGGAGCACCGAGGCCACGTCTACCTGGCCCTCCCGTGCAGAGATGTGCAGTGGTGTGTACCCATTTGTGGTGGCCGCATCGGGATGAGCCATATGCTGTAGAAGCAACTGGACAATTTCTGTCTTACCCAGGCGGGAGGCAATGTGTAAAGGTGTCTGTTCCTCCTACAACTCAAGTTAAGTGAAAAGTTAGTTCCAGGCAAACCAAACTTTATTATTAATGTGTTTTTCTCATACATTTCATGATGCCTTCTTGGAATCTCTAGAAATTTCTACTCAAAAGGAAATCATTACTACTGGGATCATTTGTATTTCTCTATAGAAGTGATTTATTTGGTCACAAAATATCCTTTACATTTTTAAATTGTTTGTATGTCCACAAACTTGGTCTTTGTTTTCTGGACACCCAAAAATATTTCTCAACTCATGAAGGTTACAGCCCTCACTTATGCTTAGATGCAAACTCATGGTTTTGAAGGAGAAAGGAATTGAGTAAAGAAATCCAAAGTCTTACATTCACCTCCAAACACTTTCATTGAGAAGCATGATTTATTCTGAGGGTTGTACAAAGGGAGAAAGACCCTGGGAAGCTGGAAGATGCTGTTCCTACTCTACTCAGAGGATACGAGCGCTGGCCATGTTTCCTTCAAAGAAGAACTGTGAAGAAAGATGACATGGTAATCTGATTTTTAAAAGATGCTATTCCAGGCAGTGTTGCAGATGGGCCTGGACTTACATCCAGGACTTCAAAGATGAAATGGAAATCTGGGAGGAAGAAAAACGAATGAACTATCTGCCAAGTGTTTTTATTCTAAAAACAGAGGATATAGCTGTGTATAAGGAATAGGAAGACATCATTGCCAACACTCAGGAAATCTCCTGGCTGTAATTTTTAGTCATGAATACTGTTTTCAGGGATAAGGGAACCAGGATAAACCACTGTCTCTTGTAAAAACAAAATTGTGTATAACCTTAGTAATAAAAAAGGGTATATCTTTATAATCTGTCCTAGAAAAAGTCATAATAAAAGCAGGAAAGTAAAGTCTGGACAACCTTTCAAAGCTGAGGGTGCATGGAGAAAAGATATAATAGATCTGTTAAAATAAATACAGTACTTTAAAGTTAATTTTTGAAAAATATAGGAAGAAGTGAAACAATTATCACATAAATTTCAAGCTGAAAGAAGTAGTAATAATACAATTATTTTAATGATAAATTAGATTTGCAACTTATAAATTTCTTTCATGTATGATGAATACATGACTTTTCCTTATGATAGACCCAAAACGAAAGCACAAAGTATATTTTCAGAATTTTCCAGATTAAGAGAATAAAAAATGTAGTGAGGTCTCAGACTGTCCAAGTTCTGTACACTCTTAAAACATGCACTAAAGAGAGACATAGTAAGGTGGCCGTGAAAAAAACTATAAGGACAAGATGGCTTTAAATAGAAATGAAGAAAACAGATATTTATAAAAATAAGTGGTTAGCAAAACAATCACCAGAAATTTGAAAGAGCTACTGTGAATATCTGCTGTTTGTGGTACCTCTTCTCAGACCTCTGCCAGCAGAACTTGACAGATGTGGGTATGGAAAGCAACACCCTGAGAGGGAGGGGGCACAGGAGGAGGTGGAAGGGGAGAGGGAGGAGTGAAAATCATGTAAATATAGTACTCGTATGTGAAAAAAAAAAGAAATTCTCAAAAAACTTTTAAAATACAAAAGTATGGGAGATGTGAAATAGATCACAGCTCTCTGACTTCCTTCAAGACACATCCCTGTCAGTGGGCTGTATGCAGGAGGAATTGTTGTCTCTTAGAAAAGCCAGTTAGGAGAAAAACATGGGGCCACAGGAGAACTTTTTTTTACCCTAACTCTCTGATCACAGTCAAATCCAAAAAATATTGAATTTTAGGACCCTAAACCACCCTACAACAAAACAAGGCTGCTGTGGACATAAAATAATTTGTGCTAAAAATGTTTTATAGGTTACATACTACTAAACAAATGTTAATAAAACCATGAAGCTTCAGGGAAACATTAAAGGACTGAATGAAAATAAAAAGTTCAAGGTCTCAATGCACCTGAAAACATAACATGTGAAAAGGAATAGCCTAGCTCCTTTTTGCTCAAAGTGCAAACCTGGGATGGAGACCACTGGCATCATCTGAGCGTTTTCTGGAATTGGAGAATTGTCCCAATCTGCAATCAAGAGGATGCCCAGGTGGATGTTACACACATCAACATTTGGAGAGCACAGGTTCAAGAAGCCTGGTGTTCTTTATATTCATAACAGAGCATAATATAGAGAAGGATTTCAGTTGTGTCTGAGGATATAAAGTGATAAAGCTGAAAATAAGAAATGGCAATATATGACATTTTTGAATTTGATGGAATAAAGAAATAGATGGCTATTTATGTAGAAGAGTAAATGTGATTACAAAGTAGGCCAAAAGAAGAAAAGAATGAAAGAAAGAAAAAAAGAAAAAAAGAATTGATGGAACTCCATGTTAAATAAATAAATAGAAGATGAAAAAATATTCCAAAAGGAATAGTCTACAGCCATCATATAAGTGAGGAATTCTAGAGAGTATTCAAGAAAGAAAGCCCTACCAGAAGCCATATGGCTGTTAAAAGAAAATCCCAGTGCCAGGGGTGTGTTGCCCCCATGAGATGTTGGCCAGAGGGGCCCTAGAGGTCCCCAAAACAATAAAGGCCATTGCTAATAATGTTGGTTGTACACCAGAAGTGGATGGTAAAACCCTATTGCTGAAGACACCTCATGATGTGAGTTCAGGAGAGGGAGAAATCAAGCTTGGACTAAGCTGGAAACTCCCTGCCACTGGATGGTGGCTTTCATAGTGCCAGAAGGCAATATGCAGATGGCTGGGGGAGAACTATCCCCTATAATTCTGCTCAACTATGGACCCCATGTGCTGCATTATCAACATACCAAACAAGATGTTCCAGCTGGTGCAACAGTGACACGTCAAGTGTATGTACAACCAGCAAATTTTTGATTGGATATAATTCCCACTACGAAAGGTGGAACACACATCTGGTACTGTAGACCAGGCCAATGCCCTGTGGCAGGGGAGGATACAGGCCCCAGAGGGGAAGCCACTGCAATTGTTTAGTGAGATGGATGTAATGCACCTGCTAAAGTACCATCCAAGCATCTGTGTTTATGCCCATAGGTTAAGTTACTATAGCAGCCACTGTTTGGATGTTCTTGCTTTTGCCATTTGTGTTTTTATAGTGGATGGAATTCCACTGAAATGGGCCAACAGCCAATGGAAAACAGATGATGCAGAGACCTGAAAGTTCACTGGCTTGCCACATTGGGAGAAGATTATCCCATACCTATCACTCCCTCCAAGGCTCAGGGACATTTTCGGAAGGGGTTGGCAGAAAGAATTTAAGAGTTGGAGGAAGGGTGGAGTGTTAACTGGACGTGTCCTCCAACCACTATGTGGGCAAGCTATAGTCATACCCCCTTCTCATGTTCATCAAGGAGTTGAGCAGAGTCAGTTACCCCTCCCACCCAATCAGTCTACCTTAGCTCCATGTTGGGGAGTAGTTAAGGATATATATAAGCCAAGAACTCCATGAAGCACCTCTTTTGCCATTTTGTGCAGCTGTCGGGAAATTACAGGATCTATATTTGAGTGTGGACTTTCCAGTGCAGCAGTAAATGGGGGGGGATGCCCACTCTTCTGTAAGTAAACCCCCACCCTATGCTCTATTAGCAAGCCCAATAAACTCATTTGGATTTTCCAAAAGAACAGAAGAAAGGAAAAAAAAAAAAGACCAATAATGCTGTTCCTTCTTCCTCAATGCTCTTCTTCTGCCCTCACCCCACCCACCCCTGGCCAACACTACCCACCCTTTATGTCCCAGCCAAGAGTAGTCTCTGTGCCTCCAACATGAAGTTTCCCTGCTTACTTTCTCCTGCTGTTTGTTCTTTCTTATTACTATATGAAATAAAAGGACTGTGTCTCCTAGTTAAGCTTCAGCTGTCAACACAACTCAGCGTAATTTGAAGAACTCTCAATTGGAGGATTGCCTCAATCGGATTGGCCTCTGGGCATGTCTGTGGAGCATTTTCTTTTATTGTTGATAGATGTAGAAGAGCCCAGCCCACTGTGGGTGATGCTACCCCTGGACAGGTGGTCCTGGGTTGTACAAGGAAACTGACTAAGCTTGAGCCAGAAGGAGTTATAACAGTAAACAGCATTCTGCCACACTCTCTTCAGTTCCTGCCTCCAAGTTCTTTCCATAAGTTACTATCCTGACTTCCCTCAATGATGAACTGTGCCCTAGAAGTATAAGATGAAATAAACCCCTCTTTTCCCCCAAGCTGCTTTTGGCCATGGTGTTCATTATAGCAACAGAAAAACAAACTAGAACAGTGTGTGACTATAAAAATGAGTTAAATAACCTCCCTCTGCTTCCCTGGGCCTGCACGACCTGCAGGCCTCTCTCCAGGGTAAGTCGATAGCACCCTCCATGCCTTGACTCCCTCAGCTTCATTCACCCTCCCATCTCCCCCGGCCTGTCTCTCCTCCTAGCCTGGGTTCTGTCCCATTCCTTGTCTTGGTGCCCCAGACATGGAGGAACCACCACTCTTCCTGATCCTTTGCATTCAGACCAACCTAGTTCCTTCTGGGGACCCCAGGAGCCCTCTGGTCCTGGCCCAGCCCTCACCTCCCTTTGCTTCCCTAGGCCTGCACAACCCACAGGCCTCTCTCTAGGGTTCTGGAAGCAATACAAAGAGCTGAAGAAAGGAATGACCCAAGGGGTGGCAGAAAGAAATTCAATGAAGGTATAACTGTGGAAAAGTACAGCTATATCAAGAATGTAAACAGAAATAAA